CCAGGCCCGGAACTTTCAAAGACTCGTCTAGTTTGGTCCTGGGTGGTGGGGGTGGTGTTGGTGGGGGTTCTGACCTGGGGAGCTGAGTGTGGAGGAGCCTCCCGCTGGCAGCCACTCACTCTGCCTCTTTCCTTCCCCCTCCGCAGTCTTTGAGCAGTACCAAAGAGCCAGGACCCAGTTTGTGCAAACCGTGGCGGAGCTGGCGACTAGGCCGCAAAACATTGAGACCCTCCAGAATGCAGGTAACAGCGGTCGTCCTAGTGGGAGAACAAAGTTTGAGTCTAGTGGGAATAATCAAACAGCCAGGTCTTCCTCCTTCCATTTCTCTTGCCATGGAATTGCCCCCTTTGGTACTTTCAGCTGCCTAGTCTTTTCCAGGAAAAACGATCAGGTGAGGCATATGGTTTAAGTATTAAATCATCTGGTATATTTGCTTTATAGAGCCACTCACTGCACCGAGGGGACTTTCACCATGTGTGACTATTTACAGGCTATTGGAAATAATTGAAGCCAGAACCAGGAGGGGAGGGGGTGCAGTTCCCTCCTCTGTGCTCGGTCTTTCTCCTCCCTGCTCTAGACACAGCTGTTGGGAGAGGGAAATGTGGTGCATGCATGAAGCAAGAAACATAAATTTGACGAGTTCCCCCCTCCAGTTTTAATTAAGGCTGCTTTGGTACTGCAACTGTTAATCTGAGAAGTAAACGTGTCGACTTTTGGGAGGTCTCCCATTCAAAGAGAAAACTAACAATATTTGAATTTCAGTATGATCAGTGAAGCAGAGGGAAAGGTGATTAACGTAACTGAAATGTTATAAATCCAGAAAAGCTGCCTTTATGTCAGGAAAAGATTACATTGATGTGCAAGTGGTGAGATCAGTTAAAGGCTTTCTGATTTGTTTTTAAACCTTTAATTCTATAATAACATGAAACTACTACTATTACAACCCAGTTATTAAAGGTTATGGACATTATTATTTATTTGGGGTAATGGTTTATTTTATTCTCAGTTTTACCATTTTTTTAAAAATCTTATTCAGATTCAGGATGCCAACAGTATCCTTCCCATTGTATTTATTTGGGGTAATGGTTTATTTTATTTTCAGTTTTAGCATTTTTTTTTTTTAAATCTTATTCAGATTCAGGATGCCAACAATATCCTTCCCATTGATTGATCAATGGTGACATTTGTATTCAAGGGGTAAATGTATGGAAATGATGTAAGGGAAACCTAATAGACTTTTGATTCTTCCTCTTGGTTAACTTTTAAACTGTTTGCAGGTCGTAAGCCTGACTCTCACCAGGAGCACTGAGGTTGTAACCTTGTTTCAGGGCCCCACCACTTCAGAGGTTCCTGACTGTTCCTCTCTATAATAATAGTAATACTTCCTGCAATAGAAAACAAAGATTGAATTCACACAGGCCAGTTAAAGCACTTATCAGCCTCTGCCCTGCTATTGGGGTGTACATGTGAAAACGAGGCAGTTTTAAATCATTGTATCAGGTTTCTGAACTGATTTGAAGACAGTGCTGGAAGATTGATTTCCAGTCAAATTTCAACCTCTTTGTGCCTTTTAGCATGCATGTGTGATTTGTTTTTCTGTTTTTAGTCTAACTGTTAGGGAGCAACAAGGACACAAATGTTCATTTTCGATGTGTGGGAACATTTTCCAGGGGGAAGCATTCCATGTGAACTTGAATGTGCAATGAAGTGTAGCCATCCAGGCACATGTTTAACTCCCTCAGCAGCTTTTTCTGAGAATTTGACCTTATTTGCTTCTAGTATCTTAGGTTTCAGTGGTGCAGTTTTAAAGAAAACCCTGCACTTAGAGAATGGTCCAACCCCAGCTAAATACTCATGTTCCATTGATGGTAGATAATTAATTGTATGTTTAATTCTTTTGTTGGACTTGGTGGGTTTTTAATGTTGCTGGATTGTTGCCCTTATTAATTTCAGATAGTCCATTCCCCATGACTCTAACAGTATTTGGTTTACTCTGATTAGTTATGACCTGTAAGATATATAATGGCTTCAGAATTTTCCACAGCTGTTAGGAATCACTTATAAACAAATGTCAATTGTGGACATTTTCACTGTTAAAAATTCTGTATAAATTATTGTTAAAGTTTCCAACTGAAAGTTTTTTAAAGGATTCTATTTTTAAAAAGTTTCCTTGTGAAACAGAATTGTTATCCCAATTTCTCATCTTCTATTTTTCGCTTCCGAAATGTGCTTCTGTTGCTTACAAAAACTTGTGCCACAGCAGTGTGTAAATCTGTAAAATGCCACAATAATCTTAGTTGTGCTTACTACTCTCAGTTGAATTTGCTTCCAAGTAAATTATCTCAGAAGCTGGTTGTCAGCAGGCATCATCAAAGCCTCAGTAGCATGAATGGAAGCCATGCAAAGCCTCCTGCACAACTTGCTTGTATTTATAGGATGGATTCCTGATGGTTTGACCTCAGAGGTTTAGAAGCATTTAAAGAATTCTACAAAACTGATGGATTATGTTTTTAATGGAAGAAACTGAAGAACATGTTATAATAGAAGAGCTTAATAAAACACAATGAAATTGACATTACTTTTAGTAAAGACATCTTATTTTTGCCTCTGCTGTTTGGGATTCTTTCATAAGTTATGTAGAGATGCAAAGTTATAAAAACAAGATCTAGGCATTTAGATTAAGATGAGAGGCTATAGAAACTAGGCTTGGCCTTGTTGAGCTTGATTTTTTTTTTAAACAATATGAGGCTTGGGGAAATGCCCCAAACAGTATTGTTTCAGTATTCATTGGAATAAACTGTTGACAATCTTGTTCACATTTTAAAAAAACATACTCTTGAAAATGTTGCATATGTCTGCAGTATATATTGAAATTATTATCTAATGCTACAGTTTTACATCAAAATTACCGCACTACCAGTGTTCCCTCTTAACTGAGTTAGTGTGAGCTGCCTCTCAGTTTTTTAGCCTCTGGCTTACACATTTTCATCTTAGTTCAGGAAGGACGGCTCCAGAGCAAACTAATTTATGCAGTAGCCAAATCGCTCACTTACAACTTTAATGCCAGTAGCTCACAAAGTAGATTTTTTTTCTCACAAGAGGCCACAGTTTAGAGGGAGCATTGTTTGACAAGTATTATCTTTTCAGGCAACTATAGGTTGCAAAGGACCCTGGAAATAAATAAATCCTTTTCAAATCCATAGGCTTTGTCTTAAATCGGTATCATTTGGAAATTATGTGCACTCATGTTTGGTTATGAGCGTAACAGCAAACAGAACTGATCAGCATGTCCTGTCATTTGGGGATGCCTTGTGGAAAACACCAAGGCCGTATCGTGTTTGTTCTATATGGAGTTAAAGGAAATTACATAATGAGACTATTTGTATATTGAAATATGAGGCTGTAAATGTTTCTGTTCAGATAAACATTTTAAATTCTAATTTATATTTTGACATTGTTGGATGTTGTGGCCTTAATCGAGATCAGCTGTTTATTTTACTTCAGGAGTAGCTGGTCATAATTTGGTTTAATACTGCAATATAATTCAAAGTGGTTACATTTGGGGGTAGGGAATGTTTCTTTTAAAATAGAAATCTGGTTACGGTCCCAGTCTTAAACAGTTTAATCACAGAAATCCGTCTCATTAGAAGCTAGAGGACCTAACTGACAGTGGGGAAAAAATGTTGCAAAAACCTCTATGTTTTACTCTTGTTAAATCTCAGGATGTCTCACTTCTGTGAGACTTCCATTTGTGACTCACCAAGCCCAATGTAGCTCACGCCCCCTGTCTGGTGGGTAATAAATCTGGTTATTTGTTGCAGGCTGGAGCCTCAGATCCACAGGCCTCCTAGATCCAGTAGGATCCATCACATACATAGCTGGTGAATTCAGCCTGGCTTAGTAGGTCGCAAGTTGTAGCATTTAAGATCAGGGCTACCCCTTTGAACCAAGGATGTGTGGCAACTTTCACAAGCAGAAACTAATCAAAATAGGAAGTGGTTTTCACATACTTCAGAAGATCATCCTGATCTCGCAGTTGTATGTCTGAGAGCAGAAATTGCAACATCCTCAGGTACTGCACACTTTTGAGAAGAAGGAGATAATCTGTTGGGTTTTATCAACAACTATAGAGCCAGATAATAAATTAAATTGCTTTTTTTTTTTTGCACTAGTATTCATCATAAAACCATAAGGCAATCTTTCAGTTCTTCCCTTAAATGAACCTTGGAATGGAATCACAAAAAAAATCTGTTCAAACAAAATCTCTTTCTTTGCCTAAACTGTGTTAAATCTAGCTTTATTTATTTACTCAGTTTATATCTCACTTTTCTCTCCAATCTGTATCCAAGGTGGCATACAACAGTTTCCCCCTCCTCCATTTCATTCTTGCCATAGCCCTGGGAGGTAGGTTCAGCTGGGAGAGCATGACTAGCTCAAGGTCACCCTTCAAGCTTCCATGGCAGAGTGGGGATTCGAATCTGGGTCCCCCAGATTATAGCCTGACACTCTATCCACTGCATCAAAAGGGCTAGATCTATATTGTTTGTACTCCACCTTTCTCTCCCAAAGCAGCTTAGGTCATTCTCCTCTCCTCCATTTTATCCTCACAAAAAGCCTGTGAGGTAGTTAGGTGGAGAATGTGTGACTATCCCAAAGTTACCCAGCAAATTACATATATTTCCTGCCTTCCTTCCATGTCATTCAAGGCAGTGCACATAGGGGTCCCCAGGCAATGTCCCATCTAAGCACTGAGGGGACCCAGGCCTCCTTAGTGCAGCCAAGGTTGTTTCATCGGGTGCCTTTAAACCATCTGCTGGCCCTTTGTAGTGTGGCGGCGTTGGCTACAGAACACTCATCTCTTCCGCACATGGTTCGTTCTAGTGCCACTAATCTTTTTCTTAAGCTCCAGGTTGACTTACTATGAAATGGAAAACATCGCAACAAATTTATTCCATTGTGATGATTCTGGTAAATCTTGGGATTGAAGTGCGGTCTGAATCTCCCTGCTAATCTTCTGGCTATAATTAGTTGGTATACGATGGCAATATTTTGTATAGAAAGTGCTAACTGAGAAACTGATGGCAGCTAATTATTTCCAAAGAGAAAAATGTAATACAGTTTGAGGCAGAGTTGTGTAGCAGACTGTAGACAAATCTGTTACACCTTCTTCTTTTTCTTCTTCTTCCTCCTCTTCCTCTTCCTCTCCTCCTCCATCTATATAGCACTAAAAGAAAAAAAAGGT